CTTGTACTTCTTGCAAAAAGACATCCATGGGCGAGAAATGAATACGACCGGGCGAGCGATTCCAAAAACAACTTCGTGAAGAAGAAAAGAATGAGAAGGACGCATCTAAACCAATTGCTAGACAGTTCCCAAATCATTCTAAGCAGCATGTGGCAGTCTGTAGTCTTTCCTTACATCTAAGCAGTTCTGAAGACCGCAAAAATCGGCCCTCTTAATTCTCACGGTATCAACCGTGACGAAAACTTTTCATTCAAGGTATTTTTTTTTCTCACCACCATGTTCCTACCAATAGCGTCTCTCCGTTTTCTCTATATAAAACACACACAACCCATAAACCCTCAATTCGCTCTGACGAAGGGCCATAGCACTCAAAATGTCAGCTTAGAAACTCTTTGCGGAAACCAATTTAAATTATGAATTCATTTGACAAAACCAAAATATGTTGTTGCACTCCTCCACCGACGCAGCAGCTCAGTTTCTTTAGAAATGTAACCCTTCATGCTTAACAACAAATCTTCTTTGTCTTTGTGTACCACTATATCCCTCCCTAGTTCATGGAAAAAAGCGGTTATCAAATATTTCAAATATTTTTCTCTATGGTAACTGAGCATTCCTCACTCTTTCGGAGAATTGCTGATTTTATAGGGGAGTTATAATTACGTTTGGACCCTAACTTGCGGAAATCACGCTAATAAAGTTGTAAAAGTTTAAAATTCTTAGATAGTTTGATTCTCACGTAATAAGTGTACAATCAGATCTTTTGATTTACCTTGTAAATTACACATGACGTTGGAGGCCTTGTAACGAAAGCTGCAATATCTGACTGAGATAAATCCAGTTTGTGGACAATCAGTCAGGGAAGTTTCGTTCCCAAAACAGTGCAGATCATTTCTCCACTTGACTCTCCCTCCATCATATGACGGGTAAGACTCGGGTACCAGGGCAGCAGCTCCATCAAACCCCAGGTGACGGCACGTGACATGAGCATTATTAAGGTTCCACGGAGCACTACACCACGTACCCCAGGTCCCATTAAATTGCACCTCAACAAGGCCATACGATGATCGAATGTAATCACCAAATAATCGCACTGTTGAGCATAATATAACGGAAAAGTTGAAATTTGACAAAGATCGTGAAAGGCTGATTAATTAAGCGACTTAAGACGGGAATAAAACTATGAAATTAATCTACTTACCATTAATAACTGAGGCAGTCCCCTTCCGAGGAAAGAGTCCTAAATAATTACAAAAAATGAATTAATCAAAATGCAAGGGCTTAATAAAAAAATAGAGGTATTTTGGTGGCAGGGTTAAAATTTATTTTTTAAAAATTCGTTATTAATCGGAGAATCAAAACCCAAACTGCATAACCATCGTCAGAATGCCAAGCTATCCAGTGGTCAGTTTTAAAAATAGCTGTGTTTAGAACTGTGCAGCCACATATCAGTTTTCTTGTTTAGTAAGGAAGGCAGCATGGTCGAGTGGTCGGCATGTCGGACTTGGAATCCGCCGCTCCCGGGTTCAAGTCCCGCCCTGGCCACTATTTGGATTTGTTTCACGGTAGCCCCGAGTTTCAAATCCTCGGCCATGCTTGTAATATAGCCAACTGGTTTGCCTTCGGCCAGTTGGGATTCTTAACAACGTTAATTTCAATTTGAATTATTTGTTTAAGTTGTTTGGTGGAAAACCTGTAAACTAGCTTCTAGCTAAGTGTTTCTCCACGTTAAATTGTTTATTATTGTTATTATTATTATTAGTAAAAGGTGCTTCAGGCATGACCGAACACTGGAGGAGAAGTTGTTATGTTTATATATATCTGCACATCCGCTGAGGCAGAAGATGAATGAAAAGTTTACAAGTCTCTAAAGTTAGCTACGATCAGCCAGGATAAAGATCTTCATTAGACATGAAACGATTTTGGGTAAAACTAGCCCTTACGTGACCGGACGTCCTTCAGAGCCGATATCGATCGAAAATGAACTGCCTGGGAACGCTCATTTGCCAGGATAGAACTAACGTTTGACTTCTATTATGTTTGTTGGGAAAACAAAGCTATATTTGATGATATCAGAACATACCTTTAAAATCTCAAGTATTGATCTGATTGCTAAATTACCAAAAAGTCCTAAGACTTGGGATGAATAACTTGTTAGATAAAGTCACAATCAGTTGTTGACTACTGAGTACCTTTAAGGGAAATCAATCAGGCTTTGATCAAATGTAATAAAAAGACACAAAGTAGGTTTGATGGCCACCATCATAATAACATTAAAAGTGAGACGAAAAAGAAAGGAACGACTGAGCGAGTAGGAAATCTGGATTGAGGATTGATATTTAACCGCACTACGTTCATTATTGTGTCAAGTTATTTCACTCATACAAAGATTTTCAGTGGCTATTTCTTACCTCCGACAAAAAATATATAAAGCAGAACTCCAGAAAAAGCCATCAATTATATTTCTTCTATGTCGCAACTCTTTGGCTGGTGGGCACTCTTTAGGTTAGTGGAACACACATCTCTACGGAATGAAGTAATTTGATGATGACATCAAGAGGTGCTTGTCTTGGTTGACCACATGTTGTCAGTTGGAGCACATATTGGTCATTCGGTCTTTGCCGATACCAGTGGCAACGGAAGTAAATAGAAGTATATTAAACAGATGGAAAGCTTGTACGTTTAAATGGGCGTTAGGGAAAATTTCATGAGGCAATCTTGTCAAACGAGGGATATTTGGATAGTGGAAGGCTGATTTCGATATTTCCATCACATTTTCTTTCATTACATGTGGCAGAAAGCTTCAATATACAGGCTGGGTAACATTCAACGCTAATCATCCAGAATGATGTACTGCATCTCCTTCGCCATTTGGCCGCCCATAAATGTGGACGGGGTGCAACCCATTCCTTTTACTTTCTCAACCTGTCCTTCATCACGAGGCATGGGATATTTTTACTGCACCCTGGAAAGAAAAAAAGGCGCCTGCGCCGGCGCCTGAGCCTATCAATATTTTTAGCAGCCTGAGTGGCTGGCAGTTTGTCAGGCGCTTGTTGAAAATGGGGAGTTTAAGATGTCACTGTGGTGACACCTAGGAAAATATTACTTAAAGTGTACCCTGAAGAATTCAACAGGTAGCTCGAAATGTTCAGTCCACTGTCAAAGAACCGAAACAACAAACTACTTATTTACCCTTGTTTGTGGGAATCAGCTTTCTAACTCAAAACGAATTGGTAGTGAGTATTATTCCTGTTTACCTCTGTTTGTTCAGCTTACATAC